CCCCCCCCCCTCCTGGCGGCTAAAGTCGTCTGGTGTTAGACAAAGTGAAGTTAGGGACGGGTCATTACTTATGGCGGGGGGGGGGGAGTGGCACCGAAGAGAAATCTTTTTTTGTTAAAATTTTGCTGATCCAATCATTAAAAAGTCAAAATTGTTTTTTACGCAACCTCAAATATCATTTAAAAAAACAAATACCCACCCAAACTGTTCAAAAGCCTATACCATTCAGTTTTCACACATATCGTTTATGGCTTTTGTGACATGAGTAATTCGGTAATTGCTGCAGTTTAAATTAGTTTCATGTTGTCTGCACATGTACTTTCTTTGGAGACATCATTTGCTTTCTGGGAAACGGATAATGATGAAGACAGTGACTCCGATTGATTTACAAATTGTATGTACATATGATTGTTGACATTGCTTTTTTGTCTTCAATATTCGAGTGAATCAGGCTACCGTGGATAAATATGTTTAAATAAATAATAATAATAATTTTTATCACCCAACCCTTAAGTTGTTTTGCTTTTGATTTACCCAACCTTTTACTCACTCAAAATTTTGCTTACCCAATCCTTTTCTATTTGGTGTCACCCCCCCCCCCCCCCCCCCCCCCCCCCCACCCCCCCCCCCCCCCCGCCCCCTCCATAAACCATGGCCAGTCCCTTTGCAAGAGCACTAGAAATACTGTGGAGTAATAAGCTTCCCCTTTTTAGAGGAAGACATTGAATCGTTTTCTGCCTATTCACAACAATGAAATGCAGGTGTACTGATAATATTTACGTTTTCCATCAATGTCTATTTATCGGGTTTCCCTAACGCGCCTAAAATAAAGTTTGTATTGTTCATACAGAAAATTAAAGTGTAATATAAATCTACTTTATTATAAATCAGTAAGAAAGCAGAAATACCATATACTTTAAGATATAAAACTGTATTAAACATTAGATCTAGAATAAATTTATAATAAGTAAAGCCTTATGATAATATTATAAATCTTGTAAGAATAATAATGAAGGAAAAAGTTAAAGTAAGCAATAAAAATACTAAATACTGGAGACGTGTCGAACATTCTCAAACCCTTGAGACAAGCAAAATCATTCTAATGCATGTATACACGCATACATTTACTAAACTTTGGTTAATTAACATCGCGTATACGCGGATTACGCAAAAGTCTCCACTTCCACAAAAAAGCTGTCAGATCTTTCAACTACTAGAACTGTTTTTAATAATTTTAAATACACATCGGTGGGGTCCGACATGGTCCCCGGAATAATGTTGAAATCTATTGTCCTAAAATGGTATTTTCTCCGTTCTTTGGAAGATTTCAAATGACTTCCTCAACGATTGAAACTGATCCTAACCACCCACAACAACTGTTTCCAGGCATGACCGCTGTCAAAAACCAACTCGTCTGCATTTATAGTAGGCTGTTGGGCTGTTTTGAATCTTAGTTAAATCACCCGGAACGACTCGATAGAACACATTTTCAATATATCTATTTACCTGACTTTTTTGAAGTATTGACTTTTATACAGTAAAGCCCCGCATAAAAGAACCAGTGGATTTTGACTTCAGGCTGCATGAGGTGGTTCTTATATAATCTTACTTCACACTATACTTTTTTCTACTCTACACATTAATTATAGCGACTGTTGTTGCATACAACTATTGCTATGACACTAATATAGTTCTCGTTACATATATATAAACTTTTAAAAACTTGTATTTTCGGCCCAAATTTCAGCCTGGCTGGTGGTTCTTAACCTACTGGTTCTTTTATGTGAGACTTTACACTGTATTTCAATTCGCATTTGACACATTTGGTTTTAATTCAGATAATTCCATTCGATATTTCGATCCATATCCAAATGCCGACTCGTTCATAAGTGGGAGGTGCGTTTTTCACTCTCCTCCTACCCCCCCCCCTCCCCTTCCAGCGCTACCCCTGGTATTGGATGGAATAAAATTGAAAAGTAGGGCATATTAGGGCATCTAGTGATTTACTACTGATTAAAAGGAAAGAATTGAGGAAACAGGTTCCTGCCTGCCGAGCTGGGAAAGACAAAGATTACTTTATATTTAAACTAGACATATTGATTCACATTGTCAGGGACAAAGTGGTCACGATTTTCAATTTCCGTTTACACTTCACTGTATGCTTTGAAGCTCGGGTGCTTGCTTTGTTGAGCAACTTTTTAATTGCGGGATGAAAGAAAATTAACATTAAATACGATGATACTATGGCTACAATGACTATCACAGTTATCGTAATATTTTATTAGAGACTCCAAAAACAGATTTTCCAGTTCTAATTTACATGAATATCAGTAAATAGGCCATCAGTAATATCTCGAGGAAGCGAGTTCCACAACTAATGGCACGATATAAAAATGCATGTGCATTGTTGTCCTCAATTTGATCGATAAGCAGGGATATCTAAACTATCGATCTTTGATTCCTCCTATAGTATCACGGCTATTATCTTGAAGCGGCTGATCGCAACGCCCACTGATCTAGGCAACGCCTCGTTGATAACGCTTCATTATATATTGACATATAATTATTCTTACAAAAACGTGTTATTCCTAACAGTGCAGGCGTAGTATCTTAATTCCCTGTTAACTGTGCCAATAAAATACATGCATGATAACACTATGATCTGAAATAGAAGAGAGCCGCAAACTATTGAATAGAATTCAATACAATTACAGAGGCTCTTTTTAGTTAAAACCGACATCAGTAAAACTAAGATATCCTGTATACAGTGGTGCAAGTCTTTTCAATTCCGTACCTAGTGATCTAAAAACTATTGAAAATTATACGGTTTCATCTTTTACAATAAAACATAAAGAGTTCTTTCTCCAATTAAACCGCAAAGTACAACATGTGCATTGATGAATTTTCCTGCGTTATATACAAACATGTTGTGCTTTGTCAATGCTTTGGTAACAGGTCATAAAACATGTACAGTCATTTATAGTTATATACTGTATCTTTATGAGGGACATAGGGAAGAATACCTCAGTGGTAGCTATGTAAATATTGTTTTTCCCCTCTTTATATAAAGTATTAACTAACAGAATGTATATCAGAATAGATGTGTTTCACAAAGCACTATCGTGCAGCAGATGGTGTCAACCTGCAGTTATCAGAGTGAGAAAATTATGATAATTCTTCTCATTAGCAAATAGATAGAACTGGGTGATGAGTTTAATTTGCTTGCTTGCTCCTATATAAGTCATGGCCGGATGTGGCGGGAGGTGTAGGGCCGTGTAGGGAGGTGCAGCCTCTCCTGAGATCTTTTTACACCTCCCCTGAGATTTTTTGCACTCTTCCCTTGAAAAGTCATGTACCTCTCCTTGGGAAAGGTTAAATCAGCCGACATTAGTGGATGTTGTGCGAGGAACTCAAGTTCTTAGAACATCCCCTTTTTCAGAAGGCAACCGGGTCAAAGGACATTTTATCACCGCGCTGTCTCCCTATGGAACGAACTTCCAGAGAACATTAAATGTAGTTTATCTGTTAATATTTTTAAACATAAATTACGAAAATATCTTTTAGAAAATCACGTATAGTAGCATTTAGCCTTTGACAATTTTTAATTCCATAGTTAGTAACTAATTAGTTATAGAAACTTTTTCTGTGTGTTGGTGTTATGTACTCAGGTGAATATAATGTTTGTGATGTTACTCTGAGTGTGCATACACACCGGGCAAGCTGAAAAGTTTGCCGCCTGACCACGGTGGGAATCGAACCCACGACTTTTGGGATACTAGTCCAATGCTCTACCAGATGGTATTTCGGAACTAAGTCTAGTTCCTTCGATATCAATGTATTCTAAGATATGATTTGTGTGTGTTGTTGTTATGTACTCAGGTGAATATGATGTTTATGTTGTTACTCTGAGTGTGCATCCACACCGGGCAAGCTGAAAGCCTTGCCTGATCGATGGGAATCGAACCCGCGACCTTTGGGATACTAGTCCAATGTTGGTAAAGCTTATAAATTTTTGTATATGTTAAAGGGGAAGTCAAGTCCGTAATGTAAACAAACGGTTTGTTTGCATTTTGAACTGCTGTATTTTTTAAAATATGATGTACTGTCTGAATATCTAACACCATTTTGGTTCGCTATGCTTCTAAATGAATATGAAATAAAGTTTATGTTCAGAAAAATTCGAAACACTCTAAATTTGGGCAATTTTCACATTAGAAGTCCTCACATTGTTATGCGCAGAACCGATGCGCAGAACGGACTTGACTTCCCCTTTAATTAGCTCTGAAAAATCCCGTTGGGAAGAGTTCAATATATTATTGTATATTGTAATGTATTTATTATATCGACATTTTTATACATTTCATTTATTATATCGAGTGGGATGCCCCAAATCCTGGTATTGAACTAAATATCTTGGGCTTGGGTAGGTCACGTGGGATGGCGAGTGCAGTTACGTGGCACGTGGGTGCAAACAAAGAAGTACGAGACCGTAATATTGGTGTACCTCCGGGTACGTAAGTACGCGAATTATCGCACCCAAACGCACCCTGCATGGTCACTTGCCGAATTAAAATGACCAGAATGCCCGACTTTATAATATCTCAATCTCTGCCTTCCCCAATAGATCAACCTTCTATTTTTAACTACAAAGACAATTATTTCCAGAAATATTTTAGATATTTTTCTATTGTTTTTGCTCTCTGGGGATTTAAATTAGACAATAGACATCCGGGACTATTTCCTTTGAAGTATACCGAAATTAGGTCCCAGCCTTCCGCTGATCGTCGCTTCATTCAAAAATGGCTGGCAATTTTTGAAGCGGACTTTAATACCTTTGGTTTTATATTCTTGCGGTTTTTGTCGAACAAAACAAGACCGTTTATCTGGTTTATTGTCTTGTGTAAAGAGCTAGGATTCGTGGCTGCCTTTTGTGCTTTTATAAAAGAAATCGGAGATAGAATTCGCCGTGAAAGCTGCTGTGTTTTGGGGCGATTTATCGACCTGTGTCCACCCCTATTTATAACTGAAGAGACTTGTCGTTTTACAAGTTTTGATCGGTCCGAATCAAAAAGTCAAAAGTCAAGACATGGGAACTGGTAGGTATCCTTGTATTTTATTTCTATGTTGTATTTTTACTGTTCAACTTGATAACATTTCAAAATATTTCGGGCCAAATTTTTGTGGACAATTAATTTCCTTGATAGGCGAGACATTTATAAATTCTGGTGCTATAAAAGGGGGGATAAACAAGTTTCAACGTCCGTTAGCCCTTATTAATACGAACTTCATTATACATAAGGTTATTTTAAGGATTAGAGCTTATATTTTGGTCAAAATATTGGAAAATGATCGCGTGTTACAATGAATAACATTGGAATATTGACGCTTATATATGTATATATCTCACTTATGAAACATTGTGACACACTTTCTTAATTATGAAAGATATTCGGGATTAGACACAATAAATCTGTTTGACCCATTGATTTATTATTTAAAAATGAAATTATCAATATGATTTCCTCAAATGTACAGGTTATGTTGTTGTAACAATTATTTTATCAATTAAGTGTGATTATTGAATATCCATATTGCAATTTAAACGTCACATCAATTGAACTACATGACCTCCAGTAAGCATGGTGTATTGAACTGCCACATTCTTTAAAAAACCCACTAATATTTGTCCAATTTATCAATTAAAGTTGTTCTGGATAAAACAGGACCTGATTTGTTACTGTAATTATAAAAATAAATCTGTTAGTACTGTTCAAACTTATTGGGTCGTAGAATCCTAAAATTCTGAGCTTCTGGTGAACACCCCAACCATAGTACACCCAATGATATATATATATTTCCCCTTTACCAGGGGTGGACTACTTTGGGATTGCTTAACCATACATTTTCTGCTTTTCAAATGACAATTAGCGGAACTCAGGGCCGGAGATATCGGGGATGTGTATGGGGGAGGGGGGGTGTGACACCCCCCAGAAATTTTATTCAGTCGGCAGGACTGCTATTCAGTCGGTAGGACTGCTATTTGGGTTAAATATTTTCGTGCAAAGGGCAAGATAGAGGTTGTTGGTCTCAAAAAAAAAATTCCTCGCCCGGGCTCCCGCCAACCTCTCTATGGCCCTGTTCGTCAGTCAGTTGCAGGGCTGTAGCGAGCGTTACAAAAATAACTATCAATTTGGAAAAAAATTAGGTATATTTACAAAAATTTAGAATATTCTAGAAATTTTCGGAATTTTAGAAATTTTTTTTTGATAAATGGAGAAAATTTGTGATGTCTGGAAAATTTTGGTATGTCCGGAAAATTTTTTCTACCCCTAAAATGGTACACTGACCGAAATTTTTTTGGCGACGGGGGGGAGGGGGGGGGAGGTTGCCAAAAATAATTTGTTCCAAAAAAATTTTTCAGGTACTGGTCGGTTGAAATGACCTTACACCCCCCCTGAAGAATTCCCCGAGGACGGCCCTGGCGGAACTTCTACTGTTAGCGCGTGTTGATTTGTTGAAATGATTTAATTGATTTTTTTAAGCTCACAAGAAAATACTCAGAATGCTTTGGTTAAATATCATGGTTAAATATGTAAACATGTCTGGGTTGTTATACAGCCATATTTTCAAATACATTGTACTTTAATTTAAACAAGCAAATTTACTGCACTGTGCTACAGCAACTGTCCAGTCACGCATACGTGATAAAAGCCGATATAAACTTTATAAACAACATAATGTTACAAAGATACTTTACAAAGATAATGTAAAATGTAACAGAACGGTGAACATGCGGATTCAGCCATCTCAAATAATAGTAATGTTGGGATAGTAGCAGGGCTCAAAGTAGAAAAAAAATATGGCCTGCCAGTCTAAAATGTTTTGGCAGGTGAAATAAATTTTAGTCTGCCATTTTTATTCATCGAACTGCCAAAATGGCGATGTCTCATATGAGTCGTATTGTAAAAATCAACGTTTTCATGATGTGCATTTTTATTATTTTTAAACTTGTCTATTTTACTACAGTAAACTTGGACTTACATTCCAAATATAAATGTATTTAGTCAACTAAATGATCTAGTATATATGAGTTGTGATAAACAAATGAAATGAAATATATCTGCAGAATTTCACCTGCCATTTTTTTTACTTTGGCAGTTCAAATTTGTTTTTGCCTGCCATTTCTAATTTCTGCCTGCTTTTGGCCATTGGCAGCCTGCTACTTCTAGCCCTGATGAGTAGCATTACCTGCAGAGGAGAGTGGGCAGTAAGGCTTCGATCCTCATGCACTACCCCATGGAAAACCTGCACCCCTCCTTGGAAATGGGGCTAGATCCGCCCCTGATTGCAACTAGACATGTAACTCAGCGGGGATGGATTTACTGGGGTGTGTGTGTGGAGGGGGGAGGGGTTTATACCCCCTAGCCCAGGCCAGAGGGGTGCAACGGATGGGGTGCTATTTTTCATGATTAAACAAAAAATATTAGAGAGAAAATGAGATACAGTAATTTGAGTAATGACATGATGATAAGTGAACTGTGAATAACAATTACAATTCAAATACAGTAGTCAAGCAAGACTTTGCAGTAGTGGCAGAACACCCCTCCCTACCAGATCATGCTGGATCCATTCCTGTAATTCAGTTGTTTAGATTGTGACATGTTTTATTAACCCATTGAGTGGCAGCACTCTCCCTTCTTTGACAAGTAAAATTGTCTGTCATTAGACAGAGTAAAATTATAAAGTAGGGAGCATCAGGGTGCATTGCCACTTAGAAGGTTAATAACAATCTATCTCTCTATCATATCCAAGGTTTAAAAAATAAATCAGAAATGCCATATGAGGAATGTATAATCTGTACTAAGTTGACGTTGTACATACTAGTTTTTGTATAAAATTCCAGTATAAAAATTATTAAAAATGTGTTTGAAATGCTGGATTTAAAGTGTGACTAACCCCAAATATGATTTTTGGTATGGGTAATATTTGGGTGATTCTAAGAAAAAATGTAATATATCTTTATAGTAAAAAACCTCGTCTTGGTCAACTTTTTCAATGTCAAAGTTTCCAGCTATGATGTCATTAGGTGAAGTTTTAGTACAAAAAAACAAAGGAAA